GGTAGGGAGGGACAGAGGAGGGAGGCCCAGTTAGGAGGGGATCCCGGAGGAGAGGAGAGGAAATGAAGGAGCCAGTAGCAGGAAGACAGGGGACAGTGCAGAATCTCATGGGTGCTTTTTACAACCACTCAGGAGCTGGACCGAATTCAACACGGAGCACCAGCTCTCTGCTGGGACCCCAGCTAGGAGGTGTGGACACAGAAATAAGTAGGATGTGGTCCCTGCCTGCAGAGTCTGGTGTGGGAGACAGTAAGAAAATCCTCAGTTACTATGGACTGTGATCGCAGGGAGCGGGTGCTGAGGAAAATACCCCTGAGGGAGGAATGAAGCGTGAAGCGGGTCAGTGAAAGAGAAATTGCCAGCAGCAGGTCTCAGGTCAGGTCTGGCCTTAGCCTGATCCAGAAGGTTAGGGTCTTGGGCTCTGGAGCAAGGTGCACCCCAGAGTAGTTCCCCTGATGGCCTTTCCCGCTTCTGTTTCAGGCTTTGGCTGTGGGCTCATGGAGGGTGGCCACCTTCCTGGCAAGGAGGTTCCTCCATGCCAGGGGACAACTGTGAGTCCTTGGAGCCAACGCTCACGGCAGCAGGAGGCTGGGAGCACCGGCCTGGTAGAGCCACCTGGGAGGCATCTGCTCCTACAGGTGCCCTGCTGGATGTTTGGTGAACAATGTAGGGAGGGCAGGGGGCTTCCTGGAGGAGAGGGTCATTTTGCTGCATTTTGAAGAACAGCTTAGGAGGTGGCCAAGCAAAGAAAGATCCGAGAGTCACCATGTATAAGAGCTGCAGGAGCTTGCAGTGCTTTCTGGAAATGTTAAGATATTTAAGTATGGCACTGCGCATAGGGTGGGCAGAGGGGGTGGTGGGCAGAGGCCAGATCATGAAGAGTCCTGTGTGCCTTAATAAAAAATTGGGGGCTAAAGTTCTTCTGAAAAGAACTGGGTTCCCATTCGTCCCCACGCCAGTCCTTTCTGCAAACATTTACCCCTTGCCTCAGCCCTGCTCAGTTGGGTGAAATCGGGGCCCAGATGCTGCAGGACTGAAGTGGGGAAGAGGCCACCAGTGTGGACAAGTGGCCAAAGAGGGACAGCCAGAGAGGGGCCACCTCCAAGGGCCAAAAACACAGGGGTTGAGACCAATCAAAAGTTGTTTTCTTGAGTGGTCATTTCAGAAGCAGAAAGAAAGTATCATCACAAGGGAACCCCGTGGAGAGGGTGAGCGTGCCAGCAGGTGGCTCTGGGAAAGCCACCCTTCTCTCTGAGCCTCCAGTTCCACATCCATCACTAGGGATCATATCTGTCCCACAGGGTCAGCGAAGATAAAGGCATGTGTGTAAAAAGTCTGTACAAATGTTAGTTACTGTAAATGTGCCTCAAAACAACAAACAAACAAAAATCATGAGAATCTGAAGCAGGCTCATTTTACTCCAGTTACCATTTGGCACCGAGCAGGTTGGGGACTTACTGGAAGACACAGCAAAGTCGGCAGCAGAGCCAAGGTGTAAACTCATCCACGTTACTGACTCCAACGTCATCAGCGGAATCAGCAGAAACCCAACTTCACGCTACAGTTCAGGTGTCGGAGGGGTCTCCAGGAAGTCCCTTCCAGCAGAGAGTGTTCCAGGTGGTTCCAAAGGGCAGCCTCAGTATCCTCCAAATGGTTGGCAAGATGAAGCCGGGTGAGCTTCCCAGGAGGCAGGGCAAGAAGGGAGACAGAGAGCAGATGTATGCCCTGAGGACTGGTCAAGAGACTGCATTCTCAGTGCTGCTTATGTCTAGAGCACCCCCCCACACACACCCACCTTTTAAAAACAGGTTTATTGAGAGATAATTCACATACCAAAAAGCATATCCTTTTAAAGTATACAATTCCATGGATTTTAGTCTATTTACAGAGTGGTGAAACTATCACACAATAAATTTTAGAATATTTCCATCACCCCATAAAAGGACTCCTTCTTATTAGCGGTCACTTCCCTTCCCCCCACCCCCGCCTTCCTCCTAGACCGAGGCAATCGCTGATCTACTTGGCACCTCTGTAGATTTGCCTGGCCGAGCATTTCATATAGATAGAATCAGAAGATATGTGTGTCTTTCACTTAGCTTAATGATTGTAGGGTTCGTCCATGTTGTGGCCTGTATCAGTACTTCATTTTCCTGTGGCTGAAAAATATTCCATTGTATGGAAAAACTACATTTTATTTCTCCATTCAGTTTATGGCATTTGAATTGTTTCCAATTTTTGGCTATCATGACTAATGCTGCTATGAACACTCACGTACAGGTTTTTGTGTGGACATGTTTTTGTTTCTCTTGGGTACAGACCTAGGAGTAGAATTGCTGTGTCGTGTAGTAACTCGGTGTTTAACATTTTGAGAAAATGCTAGACGGTTTTCCGGAGTGGCTGTGACATTTTGCGATCCTACCAACGGTGTACGAGGATTTCGATCTCTTCACATTCTCACCAATACTTACTCTCTGTCATTCTAATTATTGCTGTCCTAATGGATGTGAAGTAGTATCTCATTGTGTGTTTTTTGTGTGGTAAAATACACGTGACATATTAGTTATCATTTTAACTGTTTGTAAGTGTACAATTCAGTGGCACTGATACATTCCTCGCTGTGGTTTTGGTTTGCATTCCCCTGTGGCTAAGGATGTTGAGCATCTTTTTATGCACTTATTGATCATTTGTGTTCTCTCTTTAGGAGAAATGTCCATTCAGATTCCTTGCTCATTTTTTAAATTGGATTATTTGTCTTTTTATTATTGAATTGGAGGAGTGTTGTTGTTTTTAAAATATAGTCTAGATACAAGGCCCTTATCAGATATATAATTTGCAAAGATTTTCTCCCATTCTGTGGTTGTCTTTTCACTTTCTTGACGGTGTCCTTTGAGGCACAGAAGTTTAAATTTTGATGTACTCTATTTTTTTCTTCTGTTGCTGGGCTTTTGGTATATCTAAGAAGGTTTTATCTAAACCAAGCTCATTAAGATTTACCCTATATTTTCTTCTAAGAGTTTTATAGTTTTAGTTCTTTCCTTTAGGTCTATGACCTGTTTTGAGTTAATTTTTATATATGATGTAAGATAGGGGTTCCAAATTCATTTGTGTGTGTGTGTGTGTGTGTGTATCCAGTTGTCCCAGCATCATTTGTTGAAAAGGCTATTCTTTTCCTCATTGAATTGTCTTGGCAATATTACACAGCTCCTTTTTAAGGAAAATAGACCTTAAACAGTTCTTTCTATGTGTGGTTTATACAACTATTATAATTTCTGGCAAGTGAAGCCAGCTTTTCTCCCCCTGGTTACTGGCACCTTAGACTAGTGCCTATGGTCTGAGGTGACTTGGTGTCTAATATGGGTTCCTAGTACTTGATAGAGGCAAAAAATTTTTTCTTTAAATCAGATTCTCTCTTGGACAGCACAAGGGCTGGGTGCCCACAGAGAAGGCAGATGACCTACCTCGATCTGTTCTCCCAAAGGTGTTGCAGTGCTGCCCAGGTCTCCATGTGGCCTGATATTTTGGAATCTTCAGGGCCCAGAGTGGTGGTGGTGTTTTTTAGCTTTTTCATTTTTCATTAAGAAAAGATATTTAACTGAACATGGAACAAAGCTGCAATTTATAAGAATATGGTTTATATTAGGCTTTTGAAATCTTATAAAAAGTTCTTGAATTGAATTACTGTACGTCAACCCCCTCCCTTTAAAAAAACTATTTAACATATCTTTAAATTGTGGTAAAATATACATAACATAAAATAGACTATTTTTAAGTATGCAGTTCAGTGGCATTAAGTACATTCATATAGTTGTGCAACCGTGACCACCATCCATCTCCAGAAATTTTTCATCTTCCCAAACTGAAACTCTGTCCCCATTAAATAGCAACTCCCCACTCCTCCCTCCCCAGCCTCTGGCAACCACCATCCCACTTTCTGTTTCTATGAATTGGACTCCTCCAGGTGCGTCGTGTAAGCGGAATCGTACAGTATCTGTCTTTTCGTGCCTGGCTCTTTTCACTTAGTATGAGGCCCTAATTATACTTATTTCGTAGCATGTGTCAGAAGTTCACGCGAGTGCCTTCACCCGAGCTGCTCTCCAGGCTTCCTGGGGGTTTCCGTCAACCCTTATGATGAGTCCCTGTCATGGCATCTTGGAACCTAAAGGTGATCTTGTTTGTCTTTCTCACAGTCAGAAGGAGCCTGGTGTGGCCTCTGGGCGCCTCACAGCGGAAGGACGGCCACCGCTTGCTCACGGGCATTGCGGCCCGTTGCTGAGTGCAGGAGCCTGGGGGGAGCATGGCCGATATTGCTTGTGTACCCTCCCCTCTGCCCACCTCTGTGCCAGGGGCCTTCACATTTATTCCTCTGTTAGCCATTCATTCATCCAACAGGCACTGACCGTCCATCAGGTGCCGGCGTTGCCCTGGGCACAGGGGACAGTGAGGGCTAAGGGAGACGTGGTCTCTGCCTCCACGGAACTTATAATCTAGTGANATCAGATTCTCTCTTGGACAGCACAAGGGCTGGGTGCCCACAGAGAAGGCAGATGACCTACCTCGATCTGTTCTCCCAAAGGTGTTGCAGTGCTGCCCAGGTCTCCATGTGGTCTGATATTTTGGAATCTTCGGGGCCCAGAGTGGTGGTGGTGTTTTTTAGCTTTTTCATTTTTCATTAAGAAAAGATATTTAACTGAACATGGAACAAAGCTGCAATTTATAAGAATATGGTTTATATTAGGCTTTTGAAATCTTATAAAAAGTTCTTGAATTGAATTACTGTACGTCAACCCCCTCCCTTTAAAAAAACTATTTAACATATCTTTAAATTGTGGTAAAATATACATAACATAAAATAGACTATTTTTAAGTATGCAGTTCAGTGGCATTAAGTACATTCATATAGTTGTGCAACCGTGACCACCATCCATCTCCAGAAATTTTTCATCTTCCCAAACTGAAACTCTGTCCCCATTAAATAGCAACTCCCCACTCCTCCCTCCCCAGCCTCTGGCAACCACCATCCCACTTTCTGTTTCTATGAATTGGACTCCTCCAGGTGCGTCGTGTAAGCGGAATCGTACAGTATCTGTCTTTTCGTGCCTGGCTCTTTTCACTTAGTATGAGGCCCTAATTATACTTATTTCGTAGCATGTGTCAGAAGTTCACGCGAGTGCCTTCACCCGAGCTGCTCTCCAGGCTTCCTGGGGGTTTCCGTCAACCCTTATGATGAGTCCCTGTCATGGCATCTTGGAACCTAAAGGTGATCTTGTTTGTCTTTCTCACAGTCAGAAGGAGCCTGGTGTGGCCTCTGGGCGCCTCACAGCGGAAGGACGGCCACCGCTTGCTCACGGGCATTGCGGCCCGTTGCTGAGTGCAGGAGCCTGGGGGGAGCATGGCCGATATTGCTTGTGTACCCTCCCCTCTGCCCACCTCTGTGCCAGGGGCCTTCACATTTATTCCTCTGTTAGCCATTCATTCATCCAACAGGCACTGACCGTCCATCAGGTGCCGGCGTTGCCCTGGGCACAGGGGACAGTGAGGGCTAAGGGAGACGTGGTCTCTGCCTCCACGGAACTTATAATCTAGTGAAGGAAGGACGGTAAATGATCGACTACACAAATAAGTATATGATTACAATTGTGGTGACTGCTCTGAAGGAAAAGTGCAGGGTACAATGTGAAAGTCTAAATGGGGGGCACCGGGCTGGAGCGGGGGACCTGGGATGGACTCAGAATCCATTGACTGACGTGCAGCTGTGCCTGACACTAGACTAAGGATCCCAGTCCCCGGGCTGAAGGCACACGGGTATAACAGGGGCAACTGGTGGCCTGGGCTCCCTTGGTTTTGCGATCCCAGCACCACACTGCTCCCCCCCTTTTCCAACTGTGTGTCTCTGGGGGTGCCTCTCTGGTGGTAGGGGACATCAGATTCTTTACTTTGGAGGGAAAATTATGACATGTTCAGAACATTGCACCCCAAAGCCTCCACTGAGATGCCAGGCCCCTATTTTCATGGCTCTTACATCACACTGAGGGCACCGGATCCTTTCAGCTCTCCGGGCCCTAGCAGCATGATGTCATCAACCCAGTGCTTTGGCGTAATGCTTGCGTAATGGTGAAGTTCCCAGTCTGAGAACTGGAGAGCTGTCAAAAGAGAGACTCAAGTCCTCGTGCAGGGTGGCAAAGTGCACTGATGACCCTGACAAGTACAAGCAGGAATTCGGGTCTTCTCTGCTCTCTGGAATATAGGACAAAGCACCCTCCAGCTCAATAACTGCACCCCAGGTGTCAGGGATGCATTTCTCTTCTCCAGCAATGATACCACATCTGAAACAGCAGCTGCAATTGGAGTCACCACAGAATGAGGTTTATAGTGACCCACTGTCATTCTCTAAGGCCCATCTGCCCCCTCCACTGGCCAAACTGCAAGTGAGGCGGGAATGTGTTGAAATCACCACCTCTGCCTCTTTAAAGGCCTTGATGATATTATTAATCCCTTCCACTCCCCAGGGGGGTGCAGCATTGCTTTTGGCTTATCACTTTGGTAAGGAGGGATTGCCATTGGACTTTCCTCATCACCATATCCCTTACTCTGCTAATCCAAGGGCCAATCTGGTAATTCTGCCAGTGGCTGAGCATCTCTAACCCAGCAGGGAAATAAATAGGTCTGAAGGGCCCATCATGAAGTCATTCTAGTCAAACTGCACTTGTTACTTGACCCACCTAAACTCCCAGTCTGACCAGTAGAGCCCAGTGGAGTTCTGGGTCCTTAAGAATCAGTATTAGCCAGAGCCATCACCCAGTGATCACCAAAAGGTCTGAGAATTAATCTTTTCATGGTGCATAGTTACCCTGGTAGATGGCCTCAGGTCCCTCTGGGGAAGGCTGGAGGTAGAGTCACAGTACAGTTGACCCTTGAACAACATGGGTTTGAACTGTGAGGCTCCGTTTGCTCACCGATATTTTTCAATAAACAGTCTCCCCTCCATATGCCCGGGGTTCAACTAACCGCAGATTGAAAACAGTATTTTCAATCCATGGTTGCAGAGGGCCGACTGTATACATTGTTCTACTCCGTTTTTAAAAAAACATGTTTTTATTGATTTCAGAGAGAGGGAGAGAGAGAGATAGAAACATCAATGATGAGAGAGAGTCACTGATCCGGGCATGTGCCCTCACAGGGGAATCGAACCACAACCTCCTGGTTCGTAGGCCGATGCACAACCACTGAGCCACGCCAGCCAGGTTGTTCTACCCCATTTCATATAAGGGACCTGGGCATCATAGATTCTGCTACCCGCGGGCAGCCTGGAACCAATGCCCCCGCGGACACTAACGGGTGACCGCACACACTTACCATGTCGGTGCATGCCCTTCTTGGGAGTGTCCACCCAGCTTCCACTTCTTTCCAGGGGCAGGATCAGTGATTGACTCAGGCTTGGGATGGGTGCGGGGACTGTGCTGTCAATCATTGTGGCTAAAGTCAGACCTCTGCTCACCAGACCTGACATTTTTTTCAGATATGCGAATCAAATAGAAACTTAGTGGGTGGGCGGCTCACCTATGTTGGTTTTAGAGACTCCATGACCAATTGGCCACATCGGTCTCTGTAGGTTGGACATCCTGGTAACTCCACTGGCCCTGCCGGTTACCACGAGGGTGCTCACTTTCCCCTGGAGATTCAGCGCCGCTACTTGCTTTCCACAGCCCAGGGTCTGCACATCCCATGAGGTAAGGAAACCCTCTCCAGCTGCTGCTTGTCCCGCAGCAGCTCCCACCTGGGGCTCTTGAGAGGTGCTGGTACTTCTCCCAAAGACTTTTTCAAGGCTTTGGTTTCCAGGGGTGGGGGGGTCACCTTCTGGGTAATCGGAAAAATGTCACGTCTGATACATTCTGTTAGGGGATTAACTTTATTTTGAAGGCAACAAGGAGCCACTAAAGTGTTTTCAACAGTGGAGCAGGGTGATGAGATTTGTCTCAAGGACACTCCTGCTGTTTGGTGGCGGGTGTAGCGGAAGAGGCGAGGCAGGCGTAGGGGGAACAAGTGGGAATCTGATGCAGCGACCCCAGCGAGCCTTGAGAACATGGAGGTGGCAGCCGGAGTCTTCCTGAAAAGTACAGGACATGTGGATATCAGCGCTGGATAGTCAGGGAGCTACACCGAACCCTTGGGGGGCTGGGGAGGGTATGGTGAGTGGGGCACGTGGCTGGGAGGAAAAGGGGGCTATTGCTGTGTATAGGCTCGGTCTTCCTCACGACTCTGCTGGGCAGGGCTGAGCAACAGGGCAAGAGCCAGGCGGCTTGGAGGGGAGCAGGTCAAAGGTTCTGTCCTCAGGAGGAGTTTGCGGGCAGCATGGCCCTGTCCGGGGGCTGGCGACGGCGACTGTAAAGCTCTGAATCCCAGCGCCGGCCTTGCGGCCAGCTGCGGCCTGTAGGAACAGCCTGGGCTGTCATGCTCGCACCAAGCTCAGCGGAAGGAGAAAGGAGAATCTAAGCTGGGGACACCTGCCAGGGAGGGAGGACGCTGCCCACTGGCTCCCCAGGCGTCTCCGCAAAGCCAGGAAACAGCCTGCCACGCAGTCTCTGCACATTCACCCACACCTTTGATCCGTGTCATTAGCCCTTTGTGTAGATGAAGAAAGCAAACCATGAGCTGCTGGCCCGGTCCCCCCACGCAATGGCAGGGACAAAGCTGCAGCCGATGTGATGACGCACTGATTCCTTTTCAAGAAAGGACTGGGCGCTCAGCTGCGAGCACGGCAGGGCTTCAGGGGTGGCTCTAGGCATGCTCTTCCAGGGGCTCCCGGCCACAGGCTGGGCAGGCCGACCGGGGCTTGCATTCCCACCCGACTTGGCACTGCTGTGCCCAGAACTTCCCAAGGGGCTGCAGAGCCCCTGTCAGGCCTGCATCGCAATTTATGCCCCCCACGCATGTAACTTCCTTTCCCAGAGGTCACCCCACAGTAAGCATTCCTCTCTCCACTCCAGCCTCTGCTCCCAGAAAACCCCACCAGTCAAAGGAGGCTCCTTAAATAACTAGTTTCAAGGATTAATAACAAAATGATGTATATTAAATACCTTCTCTCAGCTCCAATGCCTCCTCCGGGTCAGTGGCTAATTTTCTCTTTTTTCCTTTTTTGTTAATCCTCACTAGAGGATATTTTTTCCATTGCTTTTTCAGAGAGAGTGGAAGTGGGGAAGGCAGGGGGAGGGAGAAACATGGATGTGAGAGAGACACAATGACTGGCTGCCTCCCTCTCACACCCTGACAGGGGCAGGGGGCGAACCAGCAACCCAGGTGTGTGACCTTGACTGGGAATCGAACCTGCAACCCTTCGACGTGCAGGCGACGCTCTAGCCACTGAGCCACACAGGCCAGGACCAATGGGCCGATCTTCTGTTTGCATCTTCAAAATCCACCTTCCGCCTTCACCCACCCTGCCCTGGGCCCCTGGAGGCTGACCCCTGAGGACTGTGCCAACAGGCAGAGCCAGGATGGCACCGTGAGAGTGAGGTCAGCTCATTTCCTCCTCTGGCTCCCTCTCTGCCAGGTCGCTACAGGTGGGTGGGTCCTTCCCAAGGCCGCAGCTCCTGAGACAGCTCCATCCCGCTTGGCCCTCAGCCTGAAGAGTTGCCACCCGGGCACAGCTGCGCCATCTCCCCCTCCCTCCACCATGCCTCAGCCTTGGCAAACTGGCCCTGTATTAAAGGCGCCTCCTTTCCTTACTTGAGCCTGTTCCGTGCTCTCCCGACACCCTGATTCCGTCAGTGAGGGTATTTTCGCCCGCTGCAAGCATTAGAAATGGCTGCAGGTGTTCCAGGCATCACGTCCTGGGGCCCAGGCACAGCCAAGGTCAGAGGCAGGGACCAGCTCTTTGGAAGAACAAGGGAAACGACCAAAGGCCTCCCACCCCAACACTGCTCCCCTTTGCCGTCGCCGGGAGGATGGCTCACACACTGCCTTGGCCTTGGGCTCCCAGGAAGCAGAGGGAGAGGCAGAGGTGTGTTTGGGTGTTTTCCTGGGACGTGCGATCCTGGGAGTCCCGAGGGGGGTAAAGGAGCCGAGCGGCGAGGCCCGGAGCGCCACGTAAGGCTTTTGAGCTGGCCGCCGCACAAGTGACCGCTCTCCCATGGGACCACTCAGACGTCATAGAAGTATCCCAGGCCCTGGCCGGTGTGGCTCAGTTGGTTGGAGCATCATCCTGAACACCAAACAGTGGCGGTTCGATTCCCAGGCCAGGCACTTACCCAGGTTGCGGGTTCGATCCCCGGTTGGGGCGCCCTGTGCGGGAAGCAACCTGTCAATGTTTCTCTCCCACGTTGATGTTTCTCTCTCTTGTTTTTCTTCACTACATCTGCAGAACCTGGTACAGAGCAGGGGCTCGAGAATGACTTGTTGGGTGGACGGACGCATGGACAGACGCATGGACGGATATGAGAATACTGCGGCAGGCGGAAGAGGAGGAGCTCGTGGGCCATGAAGCTCACTTTCCCAGCCCGTAACTCCTGGATGTCCCCGGTTTAGTCCCCACAACGCCTCTCTGTTCACCCTCCCTCCCTGCGTGAGCTCACCCAGTGTTATCAATTTAACTTTCTGTCTCCGGGCACCATCTCTCCCTTGAGCACCTGACTCACACCCAACTACTACCCAACATTTCCACTCAAAAGTTAGTTGGCACCTCAAATGCCACGTATCCAAACTCTTGATTTCTCCTCTAAATCTTCTCCCACAGACCTTCCTAGCTCAGTAGACGGCAACCCCATTCTTCCCCTTGCTTGGGCCCAAACCTGGGAGTCCTCCCTGATGCCTTTTTCTCGCACATTCCTCATCCAGTACTTCAAATCCTCTGGGCTCTACATGATGTACGGAAACCCACCATTTCTCCCCACCTCCACCTCCCTGATTTAAGATACCATCGACCTTCAATTAGATTATTGCAATAGCCTCCTGTACAGCAGATGTTTCTCGTAACCCATGCCACGCGTCTCTTGGCCACCTCTGGCTTCAGCCCCAGCTGCAGCAGCTATGGGTGGGCTCAGCTGCTCTTGTGCCAACAGTGTCTGGCCTCAAGTGTGCCCCCCATGTCCGTTTGCCTTCTGCCCTGGACGTCAACGCTGCCGGGGGCCCTCTTGGCTCCAGCACAAAGTTCACCTGTGCTGACAGCCTCGCGCCTCAAGCGTGAGCTGCACCTCTCTCTGCTTTCGGCCCCATTGAATCTTGATGCTATTGGAGCCCGCTCTACCCAGGCACCCAGATGTGCAGCGTTAACATCCCAGGGGCAACCTTCAACCAGCGGGGGAAGGGGCAGCTGGGGAAATGTTCCTGCCTCCTATCCTTCAGGTGGGTGATTCTGGGGACCAGCCTGAGCATTGCTCAAGGACCTTGGTAAACTCGAGCTCCTGATGCCCACAGCAGCAACGCTGATGATGCATCTTACGTTGACTTTTCTCCTTTCCTGTCTCACTGTCCCCGCCCCCTCATGCCTGCTCTTTGGGTCATCTCTCAGAAAAGCCATGTGGACACAAGTCCTTGTCTCAGCCTCTGCTTTCAAGGAAACCCAAGCTAAAATGTGTTTTCAGTTTGTTTCCCCTGCTACCCAGAAGCAGACTGATCTTTCTAAAACATGTGTGATCATATCCCTCCTCAGCTGAAAACCCTCCAGTGGCTCCCATTTCCCCTAAAGGAAAAGCTGAAGTCCTTACAGAGGCTGACAGGGCCTGACAGAACCCGCCCTCCCAATATTTCCCCCCTGATTTGTTGTTCTCCTGCTCATCTGTCCCTTGTCCTCCTATAGCCACAGTGATTGATCTTCATGGACACCCAGTGCACTCTTGCCTCAGGGCCTTTGCACTGGCTATTTCTACTGCCTAGAACATTCTTCCTCTAGATATTTCCAAACGTGGTCTTCACTTCCTTCAGGATTCTTCTTGAAACACTTCTCAGAGAGGCCGTCCTGTGTAAAACAGTAACCTCCACCTCCCTGCTGTTCCCTGGGCCCCTCGCCCTGCTTGAAGTTTTTCACAGCACTGATCACCAATACCATAACTCGTCTTTTTCATTTTTTGGTATATTTTCCGTCTCCTCCCCAATTTGAATGAAATCTCCATGAGGACAGAGGCTCTGGGACTTTATTGTGTTTTATTTTGTTTTTTAATACAGAACCTAGAACAGTGCTTGGCAAGTATTAAGTACTCAATAAATATTTGTTGGATAAGCGCAAATAAATAAATAAGACTGAAGCAGTGTGTAAGGATCAGGCCATAACTACCTTGAACCTCCAGCTCCTGAGTCCGGCAGTGGGTGTGGTGGCCGCTCTTGGCCATGAGGGGCCCGGAAGGTGGGCCACAGAATGCCTCTGCAGAGAATTCATCCATGCTTTGCCCTCTAAGGCTGCTCCTGGTTGATGATCTCTTTGGGGATTGATGTTCTGAAATTTGTCTCAAGAAATCCCAGGTAAAAACCCTAAGGACCTCAGAGCATTTAGGAAAACAAAACCTCTGTGAGTCTAGTCCATGCCGATCGCATACAGAGGGGAGTTTATCCCTTCTGGGCTCTGACACTCTGGCCGTCACCAGCATGGAGGGCCCAAGTCACCTCTGAGAGCCGGCCAGAGGCCCAGCAGCCAGCAGCTCCTCAGGGGGAGAGGACACTGGCAGTCTCACCAGCAGGATGGTTGGAATCCGTGGGGCTCTGGAAGGGGCTGAGGGTGGCTTGCGGGGCAGGCACCCTGTGGTCCAAGCCTTCCACTCCCAAGCTCTGTGAATAGTCATACAGTCCCCTCCAGGTGGCCCAGCCACCCCGACCTGCGGTTAGGAGACAGGCCAGGCTCTGTCTTTCCTCCGGTGGGAGGCAGCCCATTGGCCTTTGCAGACACCTCGCAAGAAACAGGCAGGGCTCCCTGTGAGCCCAAGAGACACAGCCCCCGCGAGTGGGAAGGAGGCGCCTCCGTGCCGGGGGGCCTGAGAGAGAGGGTCCCCCCAGGCTTCCCGGGGCCCCTGGCTCCGCGGGCTGTCAGCTGTGGGCGCTGCAGCGCGGGGCTGAAGAGGTTAATGTGCATCTGCCTCCGAATGTGAACGAGTCTAGGTGATGTCAGTGGGAGCCGGGAAGGAGGGAGCGGGGAGAGCGGCGGGCTGGGCGGCAGCGGCGGGGAGACCCCCGTGG